GCTTTAAAAAAAGTTTATGATATCTCAATTATAGTTCTTTTAACTTAATCCTCTTCTGGCTGAGAACCAGTGCATGAATGTGAGCTTAACTCTGAAGGATTTCTCCTTTGATCTGACCTGTCTTATTTTATTTTAGTAGTTCTGAGGACTGAACCCACAGCCATTTGCTTGGTAGACAGGTACTCTACTACTTGAGCTCAGCCCCAGCCCCATCCCTTTGTTTACTTTTTTCTGAGATTAAAATCTTTGTTTCAGTTTTCTGTCTCATTCTGTTAACCAACTTTTGTCATTCCTAAATGAGTTGATTTCTTTTTGAGACAGGAAGCCAGGGACTCATGGCTTATGCCTGTGAGCTTCTCAAGAGGCTGAGATCTGAGGATCCTAGTTCTAAGCCAGCCCGAGCAGAAAAGACCAAGAAACTCTTTATCTCCAAATAACCAGCAAAAAGGAGAGTAAGTGGATGTGTGGCTCAAGTGGTAGAGCCCCAGCTGTGAGGAAAAAACAAGAGAGATAGGGAGGCTCTGAGTTCAAGCCCTAGTACCAGCACACAGAGGGAGAGCGGGAGAAATAAAGGCTGTTGTCTCCTTTCATGCATTCAGTAGCATAAATACTAGAAGTCTAACTGCAGTGGGGTTTTACTCATCAGTATACAGAGACTGGGGAAGGAGCCATCTCTCCCTCCCTTCCCCCCATGGCAGGCACAGCAGCCTGCTTTGGGCACACCTACCTTTACCTAGCTCTGATTACTTTACTTCCTGGTATATTTCCTTGTTTTCTCTTCAGTAAGAAAGAACTGGCTGTGTATTACATAAGAACAAAATCAAAAGAAACCCTCCAGCTATAAGGGAAAAGAAGTCTAAACTGACAAAAACAAAACAAAATAAAACCAAAAAACACCAAATCCTACCTATTAATTTGTTAGAATATTCTTTGTCTCTGATTTTGTTGAACTGTTTTTCTAGCATGTTTTTTTCACAGGATCATAATATAAATGGATTTTTTTTTGCTGGAACTTATTTGAATTGATTTAGTCATTTACTATAACCATCCATAATTTGGTTTTCATGTGTCAATTAGAAAAGGATTATAACTTCCTTTTTGTTGTTGTTTTGTTTTTGGTGGTTGTGGGGCTTGAACTCAGGGCCTGAGCTTTTTAAAGCTCAAGGCTAACACTCTACTACTTGAGCCACGGCTCTGCTTTCTACTTTTCCAGGGCCTGGGTACAGTCCTTTAACTTTTTCTCAAAGCTAGTACTCTATCACTTGGGCCACACCTCCACTTCTGCCTTCTAGCTGGTTAATTGGAGGTAAGAGTCACAGATCTGTCCACCTTGGCTGACTTTGAACCCTGATCCCCAAATCGCAACCTTCATCTTTAGATCTCAGCCTCCTGAGCCGTGAGAATTCATTTGTGCCCACCCTTCTTTGACTCTGAATCACAGCTTTCATGGCTGGTGACACATACTTATTTATGAGATATAATATTTTAATTTGATAATGTATACTGTGTCATCATTAAATCAGAGCAGTTAAGTGTTTCTTTTGCTACTCAGTGAATGTTTACACAATCAGCCTGTTTTAGATTTCTATTGTCCGTAGCAAGAAATTTGCCTTCTTGGGAACCCCTTCTCAACTTAGCTTTCTTCTGGCCTGGGGGTGCCTTAACTGTCTGCCCTGTGGCTATCTCTGCCTTCCTGTGCCTTTCTGTTTTTGGTTGTTCTATTGGCTTCTCTGTCAAGCTTGTGGCTTGACAGCCTGTCTTAGTTTTATTTTTGAAGAGTGTATTGTAATAAGTCAGTTGTGGTAGTGGGCACCTATAATCCCAGCATTGGGGAGGTAGAGGCAAAGAGGGACAAGAGTTAGAGGTTGGTCTGGGCTTTATAATTAGATCTAGAGAAAGAGAAACAGAGACAGAGACAGACAGACAGACAGAATATAAAGTGAAGGCGTCTGGGCCTGGTCTGCACACACACTTGCTATATCTGTTGTTGGCTCTGTGGCCACTTGGTTTCTGGATCAGTCCTTCTTGTGTCCAGACTGAGGGATCTGCTGATAGATCCTTATCTATCTGCTGACAGCCACACCCCATGGGGATGGTTTCCCTGTGGCAGGAGTTTGTAAGTGCTAGCTGGCTGCAACTTGATTGGGCCTGTCTCACCATCATACATCGTGCATCTCATCTTTGTAGAGACCTTTCGTTCTCCTGTCAACAGCTTCAGCACCAGCTCAGAGTACCTTGTCCAAGGGTTGCTAGCCAGATTATGGTCCAGTGGCTCAACACAGAAGAGTCTGCCCATTCCAAGCCATGTGTTTTTGAGGACCCTTTCTTTGCCCTTGAAAATCATTATTTCAAAAATTAAAAGAAAGTCAGGGGCTTCACTCTGTGTTAGAATGCTTGCTTAACACACAAGAAGGCCTTGGCTCTGTCCCTACCACCACTGGGTGGGGGTGGGGAGAGATTGTTTTATTGTGGGTTATAGAATCACCGAAAAAAAATATTTTTTGAGACACGGTACCATTACGTAGCTTAGACTGGCCTTCAACTTGCTATATAACCCAAGTTTCCCTTGAACTTGATCCTCCTGCTTTAGCCTCCCTAGTGAGTACTGGGATTACAAACATGCACCACCATGCATAGCTGAGAGGCATGAAAATCTTGAGCTGTGACATTTGTTCAATTCCAAATCTAGATCTTCCAGATCTAGAGTTGGAGATAGAACTGAGTAGTTGAGCGCTTGCCTAGCATACACATGGCCCTGGGTTCCATCCCCAGTACCATGGACAACCACACAGCCACAAAATCTGAGATCCAGAAAAGTTAGGGTAGTTGTGACTTTTCCAAGTCTACATGGCTAGTAGTTAGGAGCTGGATCTAGTCCTGGCTCAGTGTTCTTGCCCATCAGTCAGATTGTGGCCCCATTATTAGAGGCTGAAGTGAGCAACTAACTGGACCCTTTGAGTTCCCACATCCACAGTAGGAATTATCTTAAAGCATCTTTCTCTCTGTCTGTCCGTCTCTCTCTCTCTCAGTATATATTGGTTGTATGGTGGGTGTTTCATTATATTATTTCCATTCATGCATATGTTTTCTGGTAAAATTTATGCCCTCTCTCACCCTCGTCTTCCTCCTCCCTTCTTCAAACATCAGTAGGTTTCATTGTTTCAAACAAACACACAAGCAGGCGCTGGTAGCTCATGCCTATAATCCTAGCTATTCAGGATGTGAGGATCATTCTTCAAAGCCAGCCTGGGAAGGAAAGTCCATAAGACTCTTATCTCCAATAAATTTTTAAAAAATTGGTAGTGGAACTGTGACTCAAGTGGTAGAGTGCTAGCCTTGAGCACAAAAACTCAGGGACAGTGACCAGGCCTTGAGTTTAAGACCTAGGACTGGCACATGTGCACACAAACACACACACACACACACACACACACACACACACACACACACACATATAGAAAGCACTTTGACCATATTCACCCATTCGTCATTTCCATTTGTCCCCCTCCTACTGTTACCACCCCTTTTTCCAACAGAGCCTGTGTACTTTCCTGTCATTCATTTTCTTTAGTGTAGACTAATTGTAAAAGGAGTGACACCATGGTATTTCACATATGTATGTATCTTGTCAGATTAACTCAATCTATTGTTCTGTCTTTCCAGAGTCTCCATGCCTCTATTATTCAACAGCTTTTGATGAGCTTCCTTCTGCATTTTCATGCATAGATAATATTTTGAGTGTTCACCCTTTATGATTCTTGTGCCCTCCCCCCTCCTCCTATTCCCCGAACAGTCCCACAGTTAGTTATATAGATATGTGTGTGTGTGTGTGTGTGTGTGTGTGTGTGCATGTATGTGCAGGTGCCTTATAGTATCCTGACTCACTTCTTTTGGTTATATACCCAGGAGTCATTTTATTTTATTTTTATTTTCTAGAAATCTCCACACTGATTTCCATAGTGGTTGTACTAATTTACATTCTAACAATGTGTAAGGGTTTCTCTTTCCCCACATCCTTGCCAGCATTTGTTTGTGTGCTTGAGAATGGCCATTCTGATTGGGGTAAGATGAAATGTGTTATTTGATTTGCATTTCCTTTCTGGCCAAGAATGTTGAGCATTTCTTCCCATATTTATTGTATGTGTTTAGTTTATTTGCCCATTTATTAATGGGATTGTTGCTTCTTTGAGCGGTTAGTTTATTGAGCTCTCTGTATATTCTGATAATTAGTCCCTTGTCAGATGTAGAGATGGCAAAGATCGTCCATTCTGTAGACTGTCTTTCAGCTTAGTGACTATTCCTTTTGCTATTCAGAAGCTTTTCAGTAGACACAATCCCATTGCATCTTCTCTTTCATTATCAAGGACAGCTCTGAATAGCATTATACACTCATCTCTTCTACTAGCAGATGACCTTTCTTTGTAATGTTGTGCATATTGGGAGATGCTTGCTATAGTTATAAATTCATTTACTTTAATCATTGTGCTTCTGGCTTTCTTAATGTCTCTTCTTGTGGCTCATCATTGGTTCCCAAACATTGCACTTACATTACAGATTTGTCTTAGCCTTAGATCCATTTGAGTCAACCCGCTGGGGGTTCAATCTGTAATCCTAGTTACTCAGGAGACTGAGATCTGAAGATTGTGAATCCAAGCTAGCCCAGGCAGGAAAGTCTGTGAGTCTTATCTCCAGTGAACCACGTAAAGCTGGAATGTTGCTGTGGCTCAAGGAGTAAAGCACTACCTTGGGCACAAAAGCTCAGGAACTGTGACCAGACCCTGATTTCAAGCCCCAGGACTGGCACACACAAAAAAGATGGATTTGGTGGTTTGTTTGTTTGTTTGTTGCACTGTATTATGGGGTTACACTGGTAAGAATTACTTTAGGTAAGCCAATCAAGAGAGCCTGAGGCTAGGGTGGGCAGAGGGTATTGGCAGACCCTTATTGCTGGTGGATACTTGCTTGATCTAGCAGCTCACCTAACCTGTTGGTTTGAAAAGGTGACTAAGGACACTTGGAGGCCCGGCTCAGCCCAGAATGAGGAGCATGCCGAGGCACCCCGAATCTCCAAGAGGAGATGGGGCTCAGGAAGGCGCACCCGGCCACGGCCACTGTCTGACTATGGCCAGCTGGCCAGTCGAAGTCTATCCATTCCTGAAGACACCATTGCTGTGGATCCCCCGGGGGAAGATCACGTGGATGGGGTACCAGGAGTGAGCAAGATTCCGACCAGCTTGGACAGCAGTGGCCCCATAGGCTGCACCAGGGGAGGCCGGAGAAGGCGCCCCATATCCGTGATAGGAGGGGTCAGCTTCTATGGCACCAGCCAGGTGGAAGACATCGAGAATCTGCTAACCCAAGTAAGATCTGACGTGTGCCCACAGTGGTCACCAAAGAGCCTTTCAGCTTCCCACCTGTATCTTCTCTGCAAACTAAACCAGAAGATGCTTTTCTTTCTTCCTACTTCCTGAATGGTGCCAGCACCTGTGTCCGGTCTTTTCCTTCTGATTCTGAAACCCGTGCATGAATTCACACTAACCATCTAACATCTGGACATCTGCTCAACCCTCTGCCTTCTTCCCTGCGATCTCAAATCAGGCCGGACTTTGCTGTGATTTTAACAAGGGGAAGGGACCCCAGCATATGCAGGGAACATCCTGAATGGTATGATAAGAAAGAGTGTGCATGGTTAGAATGTTAAGATAGGAAGTAAATGCAGAAGAAATAGAAGGCCTGAGGCTGGAGCTTGGTGGTAGAGTGCTAGCGTGCTAGACATCCTGGGTTCCAACCCAGCATGGCAATGAGTTAATGACTGTATATTTAAAAAAACAAATAAATAAATAACCTGGGTGCTGATGCTCATGCTTGTAATACTAACTGCTCAGGAGGCTGAGATCTGAGGATCACAGTTTGAAGCCAGCTTGGACTGGAAAGTTTATGAGACACCTCCAATTAACTACTAAAATGTTGGACATGAAGTTGTAGTTCAAGTGGTAGAGTGCTAGACTTGAGCACATAAGCTCAGAGACAATGCCCAGACCTTGCATTCAAGCCTCAGAATTGGGCAAAAAAAAATCACCACAAGAAAATGATGATAAAATAATACCTTCTTTTTCTTTTTAATCAGTTGTGGGGCCTGAACGCGGCCTGAGCTCTGACTCTCAACTCTTCAGCTCAAGGCTAGTGCTCTACCACTTGAGCCACATTGCCACTTCTAGCCTTTTCTGCTTATGTGGTTCTGAGGAATCAAACCCAGGGCTTCATGCATGCAAGGCAAGCACTCTACCACTGAACCAGCTTCCCAGTCCCAACAATACTTTCTTATTTCCTTTAAAAGAAAAAGATCCTTCTTTTTCAAAGTTTGCTTACAGTGCTAGGAATAGATTCAGGGCCTTACCACTGAACCACATCCCTAGCCAGGTACCAGTGGCTCATGCCTGTAATCCTAGCTACCCAGGAGGTTGAGATCTGAGGATCATAGTTCAAAACCAGCCAAGGCAGACAAACCTCTGAGACTCTTTATCTCCAATTAACTAGCCAAAAGCTACAATTAGAGGTTTGACTCAAGTGGTAGAGCCCCAGCCTTGAGCACAAAAAGCTAAGGTACAATGTCCATACTCTTAAGTTCCATCCCCAGAACCAGCACAGAAATAATAAATTAAAATTTGTGTCTCTGTCCGTCTGTCTATGAGCTTAACTGTCAGTTTATATTAAGCAAGAACTGTCTTTAAGTCCACAAATGTCACAGTGTGTTGGAGGGGATATTTGAGGCTCCTGTAGGGTGAGTAAACTGAGGCTGCCATTTGTGTCAGCCCTCGCTTCCTCCAGAGGTCGCCTTGGTCTCCTGGCAAAGCTGTCCCTGTCCTCCCACTGCAGCCATGTAGGTATCTCATCCCTCTTCCTAAACCTGACCCACTGCTTCGCTCAGGGTTCTCACTGCCATGTCCCCCCTGCCCACTGTCCCCTGAAATGAGATGAAATGTGCCTGGAAAGTTAACTTGGGAGAAGAGCGCATTGCTGCTGCGTGGTGGGGCACAGCCTGCTACTCTAGGCAGGGCTGGGAGAAGTTGTCACATCTGTAGAGTGGTCTTGGAGGTGAGAACACAGGGCACACAGGGCGCCTTGGTGCTGGGGTGGGGGAGGGTGTGGGGAGAGGGGAGGGAGGAAGATGTGACTTCCTGGCACCTCTCACAGCTTTTCATTTCCTTTCACAGCCAGCAGCCAGGCCTCCCGTGCCTGCTCACCAGGTGCCCCCCTACAAGGCTGTGTCAGCCCGCCTCAGGCCGTTCACCTTTTCCCAGAGCACCCCCATTGGGCTGGATCGTGTAGGTCGCCGAAGACAGATGAGAACATCCAATGGTGAGTTCTAGAACCTGTTTGCGGCTGCTGTCTAGAGGCTCAGGATTCCAATGGCTGCATTTTCCATGGCTGCCTCTCTTCTGGTGTCAGAATACGTAAATCCAAGTATAGCAGGCTCTGTGTTTTGGGCTCACAGTTTCCCCTCTAGGCCTCTTCTACCTTCTGACAAGCCTCAGCATTCTTTGGCTTGTGTTCACAGCCTCTCATCTCTCCCTTTCTGCTCAAGTGCTCTCTCTGCATGTCTGTCTGTCTGTGATGGGGTCCAGATTCTATACTCCCCCATTTTTGATTAGCACAAATTAGTTGTATAATGGCATTTCATTTTGAACTGTCTACCCATATATATGCATTCTATATACCTTGTTTAGACTTACCTCCTCTGTCACTTTCTCTCTTACCTCTCCTTTCCCCAATCATAATTCTCCCTTTTGGAAGTATGCCAGTCTTAAGGAATTTGGGGTCACCTTATTTCTGTCATTGTGTTGATCTTTTACAAAGACTATCTCCAAATAAGGTCTGAGAGTAAAGGCTTCATCAGCTTTTGGGGAGAGACATTTCAACCAAATCTATATTCCATTAATATATTCATGTACTGTATAGACAGGTCGGGTCAAAGATTTATAAGGAAAAGGAGAAAATGCAAATAGTATTGTTAGGGCCTTGGGAATGTACAAGGGTTTTCCTTTAATCCCCTAAATGCATACAAGCAGCCTATTTCCTGTTTCTGTAATGCTTTGTTAAGTTGTTTTGAACTCAGGGGCTTCTGCTTTTACTTAATTTATTGCTCAAAGTTGGTGCTCTACCACTCGAGCCACAGCTCCACTTCTGGCTTTTAGGTGGTTAGTTGGAAGTAAGAATCTCGTGAACTTTCCTGCCTATGTTGGCTTCAAACCTTAATCCTCAGATCTCAGCTGCCTGAGTAGCTAGGCTTACAGGTGTGAGTCACTCACTGGTGCCTCGCTTTGTTAGTTTTTATTTTAATGTAACTTTTTATTAAATGTAACAACATGTTAGCTTCTGTAGTGACAAAATACCTGAGAAAATAAAAGGAGGAAAGATGTATTTTGGCTGGAAATTTTGTAGGGTGGTCTGTTGTTTTGAGGGTTCATAGAGAGGCAGGTAGCACGTCAGAGGAGCACATGGCAGAGCAAAGCCTCTCACCTGATAGTGGTTGAGAATCTTAGCTGTTTTATTTTGTTTTCAGTACTTGACTTTAACTCAGGGTCCTATGCTCTCACTCAACTTTCTTGCTCATAGGAGGCACTCTACCACTTGAACTATGATTTTAGTCTGACATATTTGCTAGTTATTTTATTTTATTTTATTTTTTGGTCGGATGTGGGGCTTGAACTCTGGGCCTGGGCGCTGTCCCTCAGCTCTCCAGCTCAAGGAGAGCGCTGTACCACTTGAGCTACAGTGCCACTTCCGGCTTTCTGGTGGTTTTATTGGAGATAGGAGTCTCACGGTCTCTCCTGCCCGGGCTGGCTTTGAACCGCGATCCTCAGATCTCAGCCTCCTGAGTAGCTAGGATTACAGGTGTGAGCCACCAGCGCCCGGCTGCTAGTTATTTTAGAGATGTATCTTCCTGGAGTTTTCTGCCCTGGCTGGCTTTGAACTGGGATTCTCAGATTTCAGCCTCCTGAGTAGCTAGGATTATAGTCATGAGCCACTAGTATCTGTCGAGAGCTGTTTGTATTTAAAATTTATTTATGATTCTTTCACTGTAAACCAATAAAAATTAACTGGATAGTTTAAGAAGGGGAGGATATACTGGATGGTGGTCCTAGGCTTGATGGGAGAGGCTTAGCAGGAGTGGGGTTTAAGCTGGAATGCAGATAGTGGTTGTAGTTTGGCTATGAAGTCTCTTCACAAAAGGCTCATGTGCTCAATGCTTGACTCTCCATTGGTGGCCCTGTTTTGGAAGATCCTGGGAACTTTTGTAGGTGGGATACAGCTGGAAGACATAAATCACTGGAAGTGGGTCCTTGGGATATCTTGTTCTGGCCCCTTCCTATCTTGCATTGTGCATCCTGTCTACCATAAAGTCTTCTGCTCTTTTGTCACAAGCTCTTATGGCTATGATGTTCTGTCCAACCATATTGGGTCCAAATGGATTATAGACTAAACCCCCCTGACGGACTTTTTCTGCCCTGGCTGGCTTTGAACGGCAATCCTCAGATCTCAGCTTCCTGAGTAGCTAGGATTACAGATGTGAGACACCAGTGGCCAGCTCCCTGACTTGGCTTAATTTTATAGGACATACATTGAGTTCTTAATTGTATTCTCCCTGCCTTCGTCTACCCATTTCCCCTTGACCTTCATCCCAACCCTTTTGAGTACCCACTTCTTGGTGTTTATTTTGTTGAACTTTGACTTTGCCTTTCTAAGGAATTACCAGTGCTTAATCTTTTTTTGTTCTTTCCACATTCCTCTGAGCCATTTAGCCAACCAAGCACACTGGCTAAGCCCTTCCTGGGGCCATGTCTCCTTCCAGTCAGAAAGAATTAGAAGGGATGTCAGCTCATTTTTCCACTGGGGGTTCCCCTGTCTTGGGTACACAGTTCCTAGGAAGTGACAGAAGGTCCCTTTGCTAGGAAGGGACGACTGTGCAAGGTGACCTGGCTTCTACTCCATCGTGAGCTCTTGAGTCTGGGGATTGAGTGGGTTTCTCCATCACCCTGGCTCTGGCCTGCTTCTGCTTACCTGGGGACCTGGAGATTTCTTGCTGTACAAATTCAGTGTAAGTTAATGGAGTTACTCACCAGTTTTGTTCTTTGGGATCAGTGAGGCACAGCCTAGGCTACATAGTGAGATTCTATATCATAAAAATAAAACAAAAAAGGTCATTGTTGAGTTGGTGTTACAGATGCCATGTCCCTGCTGAGCCTGAAGAAGTGCCCTCTCTTCCAAGCCATCTTGTCAGCTGTGCAGTGCAGGGTTTGTGTGGGGAAGGAGGGTGGAAGGGAAGGCCCGCAGTAAGGTTGCAGCCTGGGCTGGGTGTTGAAAAGGGGTGTGTGTTAGAGCCTCTGTGAATTTGTACTTCCTGCTGCTGTTTACTAAGTGAACGTGTTCCAAGGGCCTTCTGAGTTCTATGAGTCCAAAGGAAGGTTTATACCAGGTGTGGCACATACCTGAGATCCCAGCACTCACACTTGGGAGGCTGAGGCAAGAGAACTCCCAGTTCATAGCCAGCCTGGAATACATCTCAGTACTCTGCATCAGAATGAGAAAGAGGGAGAGGAAATGCGGGAGAGAGAAGGAGAAGGGTGGGAGGAGAGAGGGGAGGTGGGAAAGGAGGAAGAAAATAAAGAGAAAGAAGGAAGAAACAAAGGAAGACTTGTACCCACTGTCTTAGTGAAGTATGCCCCTGCCCTTCTCAGGAGTCGGCCCTGATGTGCTGGGCATTTTTCTCTTGCTCTATTTACAGCCTTATCTCTTGGGAACTTGGGGCTGTACAGGAGGGAGGGTCACATGGAACATCCTGAGTACTCTTTCTGCTCTGCTTGGGGGTTGCGTTTGAGATAACAGGATAAGGGCAAGTCACAGTGGCACCAGGTCATGGATAAAAGGCTCCCTGTCTACAAAAACACTTTATCTTCTAACTTTTTGTGGTTTTAAGGATGGATCCCCGGGTACTTAAGGCTGCTCAGCACGTGCTCTGCCACAGAGCTACATGCCCAACCCAGTTTAGTACAGCTGCTTTTCTGACATTTGTATTTGTAGCTTCCAGTTCCATGAGTTTTTTTTTTTAATCTCATTTTCTTTCCTTAATGAAGTTGTTCTCTTGTCCAGAGGTGTTTTTTTTTTTAATCTCATTTTCTTTCTTTAACGAAGTTGTTTAAGACACCTTAAACCCATCCCAGCCTGCCCAAGTTCCTAATTCTCTATTATTACTTTGGGAGGCATTCATATTTCTTTTCCCTTCATGAATCTGTGTGTTTTGATCAGAAGCCAAATTTGATATATTTTCCAAAGTATTATTTTCATGTCTATTTATTTTCATTTCGTGCTTGTCAATTGATTTAATTCAAGTTAATTGAATTAATTGAGCATTGTCCCTTAGCTTTTTCACTCAAAGCTGGCTAGTGTGGTACCACTTGAACCATAGCTCCACTTTCAGCTTTTTGCTGGTTAATTGAAGAGTCTCATGAACTTTCCTGCCTGGGCTGGCTTTGAACCATGATTCTTAATACCCTGAGTAGTTAGTATTATGAGCCACCAGTACTCAACTTTTCCTTTATCTCTTAAGGTATTTATTTATTTATTTATTTATTTATTTATTTATTTATTTATTGTCTCATAATCCTTCGCCTGAAACTCCTATGTAGTGACTAGCCTTGAACCTTGAACTCTTAACTCCTCCTGGCTCAGTTTCCCAATGCTGAGATTATATTGGTATATACCACCATGACCAGTGGTACATGCCTATAAGTTTTAACTTGCTTTTAACTTTTAAACTTGAGTAGAATTTTTATGAATCACAGCAAAGGACTAAAACATGCCTATGCATTAAAATCAGTAGATCATATCCAGGCTAGATATAGTGGTCCACACTAAGATAACAAGTACGCACTTGTAATCCCAGCATTCTAGAGGCTAAGGTAGGAGGATCTCTGGTTCAAGGCTAGCTTGGACTAGGAAAGTGAGACCCTGTCTCCAAAAAAAACCCAAAACCCAAAACAAGAAAGAAAGCTATTCCTGAAATATATGAAATATACATATATACACATACATCTCTATCTATATAAATATAAAATTTTCCCTGGTTTCAGTCCAGGGAATAAACAAACCCTTTGCCCAGACTTGTTCCCAGAGGAGTTTTCTAGAGGTGCATTTCAGGTGACATTTCACCTGAGAGAGTTACAGACCAGGCTTGGGAGAGAGTGGCTAAGCAAGGACTAGAACCCAAGAAAGACACAGACACTCCGTATTCACTTTGTGCTTTGGTAGTTACTAGTGCCTGATGGGAGAGAAGGGGAATGTGTGAGTGAGTGAGTGTG